CGGGCCTTGACCGCATGTGCGTACGTTTGTGCACCCGTGAAAAGTTACGTGCGTGATATGTAACTTCGTTGTACGGGACACGGACGTACCCGATGCCGAGTACCGCATCCTGCTGCTTCGCCGGCTGAGGCTACCGCTGCCGCTTACACCCGCGCGATGCCCTTGCGGAGGCAACCTCGACGCGCTCGGGGACCACCGGTCCGCGTGCGTGCAGGTCGGGGTATTAGCCCGTCGTGCTGGCCCCCTCGAACGTGCAGCAGCACGCATTGGCCGCGAGGCAGGAGCGCGGGTTGCCACGAATGTTTCCCTGCGCGATCTCAACCTCGATCTTCCGGCCGCGGACGGGCGCAGAATCGAGGTCGTCGCCAACAACCTGCCGATGTGGCAAGGTGCTCAGATCGCGGTTGACACCACGATCGTAAGCCCTTTGAGGCGTGACGGCGAGCCCCGCCCGCAGGCGGATCGGGAACCGGGACTCGCCCTCCGTCAGGCCACCGACCGCAAACTGCGAGCGTACCCAGAACTGCGGTGCGCCCGCCGCTGCAAGCTGGTCGTCTTCGGGGTTGAACTGGGCGGGCGCTTCAGCCAGAGCACCCTGACCTTCTTGCGCTTGCTCGCACGCGCGCCATGGTGCGCGGCAGCGACCCGCCAAGCGATGGTGCACCGGTGGACCACCCTGGCAGCGCTCGCGGCGCTCCGCGCCCACGCGTGCACGCTGCTAGAGCTTCCAGTGGGTGAACCGGTTGACCCGCTCGACGGGCAGGAGCTCGCTCTGGGGGAGCTCCTTGCGGGTGCGCCCCCGCCCCAGCCCAGCAGGCCGGGGCATGGGCCGCTGCCGCCCTGGACCCACTGTTCGTAGTAGCAGCGGCAGCAGCAGCAGCCGCAGCAGCAGGAAGAGAGCAGACTCCCCGCGAGTAAAAAGGCGCGTGAGAAAAAAATGTACGGACGGAAACCCAGAAAAAAACCCAGCACTCAACCAATAGCTCCACAAAGCGGGATGCGTGGCATCGGATCCTACCACAGTCCTGGAACACATGAGCCAACGGAACGCCGCACGGCCGAGAGCAGTCCTAGACTTGGCCACTGGCAGTGGAGCCTGCACGCTCCCCGGACTACTTGATGGAGCGGCAGGACTTTCGCTTTGCTGACGATATTTTATTGTTCGCGATGACACGTGACGAAGCTGCATGGATTTTGGATGCAATCGTCCAGGCTCTCGCCGCAGTGGGTCTTCTTTTGAACCCAACAAAAGACCAAGCTTTTAACCACAGAAGCACAGCCACCGTTGACGTTGTCAACGCCAAATGGTTTGGTCGTGGATTTATTCAACGGAGAAGATTCGCATAAGTGGTTGGGATGTTTGCTTTGCACCAAGTCGGAGGGCAAACATGCAATTGATATTGACCATCATGTGCAAGCTGCATTCAAGGCATTTTTTGCCAATCGATGGCTTCTATGTGATCAGAAAGTTTCCTGGCGTGATCGCCTGCGCTATTTTGAGGCTGTCATTTAAAAAACAACATTTCCCCAGTTGCGTGTTTCGCGGCTGTGCACCGGCCGGTGTATAAATCGGACTTGCGCAAGCTCGACGTTGCTCAGAGTATGTGCTGTCGTTGGCGCACCATCTGGCACAGACTGGTCCGCAGAATGGCATGGCAATATGTGGGTTCCCTACTTGCTGATCGGTGGGTCAGACGTGTTTTGAACCGGGTTCCGAATTGGTTTCGTCGCATGTGGCGACCCAGGTACCGGTTAGATTCCATGCATCAAAACTTCTGTCGCTGGAAACGATGTGAGAATTGGCTGTTTGAAGCCCAAGATAAGATGAGGCGAGATGGTCCTTCATGGACCACGTGTGAGCGCTGCTTCTCTGTATAGGTAATGCTAGATTTGCCTGAGCCTTCAATGGGCGGCCTACGGGCTTTCAGGCCTGACTTGACTTGACTACGCTCATGATTTACACCAGCTCGATGTGGCCATGCGACTTGTGCTGGGGTCGATAGTTGGTCCGGATGGACTGGAACAGACCGTGGCATGAAATTTGACATGAGTGGTGCGTATATTTCGCTGGATTCCCATTCCTACGTCTCCCCGTGTGGGGCGACCTCCATTCGCATGGCATGATGCAATTGAACGTTTCTGCCGCTGGCGCGAGTTGGGTGACTGGTTTACAACTGCAAAAAAAAACACGCCACCAATGGTTAATTCATGTGGATGCTTTCGACGAGTTTACTTTGTACTTTTGAGTTCGGCCGCGTAGCTGCGTACATAACTATGGTAGCCTTTTGCCTGAGCCCTCAATGGGCCGCCCTCCCTTACGCCCTTAAGTAGTAGGCTCGGGAGTCATGTTACGTCTGGTCCGCGGGCGACCATTCCCACCGAATCCCCCATGCTGAAGGTGGCGAGGACTGTCCCGGCGCACTTGCGACCCACGGCCCGGGCAGCATGGATCTCCCGCTGGACTGCGCTGCTCGCAGTCGCGGCGCAGCGCTCCTTCGCCAGCTCCCTCCTTGAGCTGCCCCTTGCGGGCGAGGCCAACGGCGACGACAGCGAGCCCGAGCCTCATGAATTCCTCGCTGACGGGCGCCGGGAAAGGCCGGTCGCCGCCTGACTCCCCCCCGGTGACCTCGACGCAGTGACTTTCCGGCTGGCGGGGAACAGGTCCGAGAAAAAAAAAGACGAGCAGGGGGACCCCTTGATGCCGGCCATCTGAACTTTTCCAAGGCGAGCAGGCAGTGGCACTTCTTGACGACGGCCTCCGCCTCAAGGCTGCTATGACAAAGGGGTGGAACTCCGCTGGCATATTCCAACCAGGTGTGCTTGCCTTTGCCCCTGACTCCCCGATTTGGGTTGGTGACCCCCTTGCCAGAGTGTGGTGTTGTGCGCTCCCGAGTTCGTCGAAACCCACCTGCGTTTCGCTCTGGCCCGCCAGGGCGGCCTCCTCGACAATCTTCCCGCGCTCCATGACTCCCACGTAGCGTGGCTGTTGCTCTCCTGTTGCGCAGCGCCGCCTGCACGAAAAGCCGTCCCACCCTCTCGCTTGAAAGCACACGCGGCTACGCGGCAGGCCACGATGGTGCAGTCCTCCGCTGCCTTGCCGTGCTTTTGTTTGCCGATGAGGCGTCACAACTTCCTGAACCTGCTCAAGTGCGCGCGCAGCTAGCGTTGCGGCCGGCGGCCTCGGGTTGGGCAGCGCGACGCGCCCTGCGCCAGCTGCTTACTGCGCGACCCCGACGAGGCACATGAGGTCGCCGGCTCCCTTGCCTCTGACCGGCCACGCCCGTTGGCCACCTGCAGTCAGCGCGATATGCCCCAGACTTGCTCTTTGCGCCCCCTGCCTGGGCGGAGTTGCTGCAAAACAAGAAAAAATGAGTTGCTGCATATCCAAGTGCCAGCCCTCCTCGAAGAAGACCCGTCCCGCCCCAAGCAATTGACATGTTTTCATCGGGCGTTCCCGCGGGAAACCGCACCCTGCTCCGGCTCCGCGTCCAGCGCGCCCCGCCACCCTTGCGCGCCTCTGCCGCCGCGGCCCAGGGCTGGGCGCGCCGCTGGTGGAGTGTGTTGTCGGTTGCCCTGCACCGAGCAGTCGCCAGCTCCGCGCTTGGCGTCTGGACCCTGCCGCCGCTGCCTGGCGCCGCCAGACACGCTCCCGTTGAGCGACGTGCTCGACCTGGCGAGTGCGAGCGCCCCCAGTCGGCTGCCGCTTCGCTAGCACTCCGTAGGAGTCTAGGTAGCTGACGTCGTTGGGACTCGGGACGCTTTCGGCGGACGCAAGAAGGCGCGGAAAAAAAACTTGTCATCATGTTTCATCGCTCCATCAGCGAGCGCTGCGATGGGATGGAATAGCGATGTTGGCAAAGAATGCTTGCGATGACGATGTTACACAAAGGGTGATAAACTCGCATTTTTTCTTGTTCTGTGCACGAAAGGAGCATCAAGAACTGCAGGTTCACCATGCAAAAACATGTTAATGGCACGATATGGAAACACATTTCATTTGCCCAGCTGCAACAGCAGCAACGGCAGCAACAGAACTTGTTGCAAAACCCAAGTACAAATGTTGCTACATGACTTCAGTGTTGTGCAAAGTATGGACACGTAGGGATGTATGAGGGGGTGTGTGCCATGGCAGCCAGTTCGCACGTTGCAACGAGCCCTGTCAATTTCTCGGATGCAATTGTGCCGTGTGCGCCCTTGACGGGAGTTTCTGATCAGGTCAAACAAAGGAGGCGCATAGAATGTTGCGTTTGGGAACGTGAAACATCACGACTTCACATGCGCGAATGCGCAGGTGCGTTTCGTGGTGCAATTGAGATATGCGAAACGTTGTGGCCCCAGTGCTTTTGTTCATGCAGCCCTGCTGTGGCTTGGTGCGCTTCACGATTCGGACAGGTCTGGCTTGGAGGACATCTGGCATGCAAGGAAGCTGCTGCAACGTTGGTTGCCCAATGACGTGAAGACTAGGAGAATGGCACAGCGCACTTTTGGTGATGTGTGTTGCCTCTTTTTTGTTTCTGAGCGTGAGCACGGAAGACATTGTTTCAGGCTCAAGGTCTTGGTCCAGGAAAGCATTGGGGCAGTTCAACGGCAACCTTCCCATGTGCAGCTTCAACTAAAAGTCTTTCATCGGATGCGCATGTGTACGAAATTGAATGATATTGTTGCACCAGCGACACAATCGACAAATCTGCCAACTATGTCACGTCGCCAGAAATGTACCGGAAATCCGGCCGCTTGCTTGCAAGCATTTGTGAAACGGATTTGCGTCGGAACCATGTGACAAAAGGATGCCAGTCATGTTTCGTAGAGGCTGGTGGTGCTGCGGACGCCGCGGTTCGCAGATTGCAAGAAGCTTTCGACGTTTTTCAAAGGACATCCCCTTCTGTAATGTGCAAGGCGCGGCGAGCATGTATCTTGTTATTTGTATGGTGTGCAGGACGCCGCAAGGACAGGGCCATCAGCTCGAAGAGCAAGCTCGGGTCGTAGCAAAGCCCGATATCATGGAACATCCATGTGGCGATGTGCGGCTCTGGGCAGCGACGCTTGTTCTCTTGGTTAGATGAGGTTCAGTGCGTTCAAACTGATGTTGGGAAACTCGATGCCATCATCCTGCCGAGGAAATGCTTGGCAGAAGTAATGGTGATATTCGTGCCAAAGCCACCCATCGAGCAAGAAAGGAACGGTGTGAATTGCACGATACAGCACGGCATTTGCCGCATGATAGCAGCTGCCGCCTATATGTGCAGGATTTCAAGTGTGCTGCAGTTATTCATGGACCAGATGATGTGGTTGACAGATGCAACAGCAAAAAACTACAAGTATGCTTGCGATTTGTTTCGAAGGCCGGAACCGTGACATACGGGACATGCATGGGTGGAGTAGCACAACATGTGTGTGTGTGTGTGTGTGTGTGTGTGTGTGTGTGTGTCTGTCTGTCTGTGTCGCTTGCTGCTCATTGACGCAGGCTTGTTGAGATTCGCGGCGACTCAGCTTGTTTCAGACGTGCTTTCTGCAGGTGTGAACTTTGTAACATACACGAGATGCCTTTCTTGGTGATACAGCTCTTCCTTGCAGGTTTCATGCTTGCGTTTGAATCAACAACTCCGGAGTTGGTGATGGAAGATCTTGTCAAGTCGAGCATCGCGACCGTTCGCAAAGCTGTGCTTGTTCATGAGGCCACGGTTGCTGGTATGTCCAAATGCAACCATTCCCACCCTAATGCCAGCAAACGTGCCCGATAATCAGGATGAAGAGTTCGAGCGGCTCGAAAACTTACTCGCCCAGCTTTTGGCAGGCGTTTTGGCCGAGGTGGGAGAAGTTTTAGCACACGGGAAGTCAGTCGGAGTGCATGGTGAGACGGTCAGGTAGACGAACTGCCCGAGACAGTTCTCAACTTGCTCATGCAAGAGGTGAAGCAGAAGACAAAATGTGCAGGACCAGGGTGTGCTTGTCCAGAACCCGTTACGACAAGCACCAGATGTTCTTGAAAGATTATTGTACCTTCCGACAGCACATGGGCAAGGTTGGCAAGTTCTGTTTGCTGCGCAGCGATTGCAAAACTCATGCCAAAGTGACATCTGCCTTGTTTGGCACCAATGAAGTCCTCATGCGCCAACCATGTGCCACACTGTCCAAACATGCTGGCTTTGTAGCTTAATCTTTGCCACGGGGTGGCCATACATGTTGCATAATGCCAGCTCACTGCCTGGAACTCCGAAATTCGGAGAGCCATGAGTGGGGTGTGTTGTTGAAAGCTGAATAAGCTAACCAACATGCTGCGAACAGATTGCGATACCAAGTAGGCTCCGGAATGAAATGTTGGTTGGGGGGGGGGGGTGGCAGGGTTGTGGGCCCCCTTCACGGGGGTGAGGGGGGGGGGGGACAAGTCATAAACGCATACATATAGGGCCGGCTCAGGCACGTCGAAAGCATGGTAACAGGGTCTGGGTTTTATCGTTGAAAGTCTGGGAATAGGGTCTGCCTTAGCGAAATTCTTTCGGCTCTATGTTAGCATAGTGGCGAGGGAAAACGCAAGGTTTTGGACTAGGTTTCACAGCCTAAACCTTTAGCAAATAGGGTTTACAAAAAACAGGGCTTAAGCCTAAACATAAGGGTACAGAAGACTATTCACAAAATTAGAATTGAAGCGGGATCGCTAAGGTGCAGTTACTGCGTAGCGCTTTTTCTGTCTGACAAAGCTCTGGGCCCAAGGCCTTCGGTAAGCAGCGAAGTAAGAAAAGTCCTCCCTATTTTAGGGGGTTGGAGTTGGGCTCTACAACAAAGACAGTAAGTCTAGGAAGATGTGACTTCGGGTGTACACTTTACACTCCTGGCCAGATGATCTTTCACACCCGTCTCATCTCCGAGGCACAGCGACTTCTACTAAGACAAGTTGTTACTCGTTGCAAGTATGGTAACAGGGTCTGGGCTGTAGCGAACTTTCCTTAGTGCCGAGGGAAAATGTAAGGTTTTGGAACAGGGTGTCAGCTTAAATCGTCAACGAATAGGCTTAAGCGAAATTTCTATAGTGGCAGGCAAAAATGTAATGTTTTGGAATATGTTGAAGCCTCAACCTTCAACAAATACGGGTTACATAATCGCTTAGGCTTAAACATGAAGGGGGCACCCCGCAGTTACTATTCCTAAGCATGACTCGTTTCTTGGGAATAGGGTGTGTCTAAACTTTAAACGAATATACGTAGGAGCTCTTGAGGGTTTCAGCCAAGGGCCTACTTGGCAGCTTTTGGGACAACTTTTCGTACAGACGGTTTAATTTGGTATTCAGCTTTTTTTGGGATGCAAGGTTGACTTCTGCTGTGTGCGACCGGGGCGGTGACAGGAGGGGGCTCCACCACCAACTTCCCCACACTGTCCTTACAGTGGGTTTAACGTGGGGGGGCTGGCAAGATATGGCACTTCATTATAGCAGCCTTCGTGGCAAAACCCCGCCCCTTACGCTATCCTTGCCGTGTTTTTTTCTCTGGGGCGTGGGGGGTGGGGGTGGGGGCGGCGGCGGGTTAGCATACATATGCATATATATATATATACACATTCATATTTATCGCATACACGAAATAGGATGTACATAAAAATACGTATACACACACATATATATATATTTATTTGTTTATACATATACGTATATGTATAGGGGGGTTGGAGGACCAGCAGACAAGACGACCAGAAGACCGGAGGACCATAAGACCAGAGCAAGAAGACCAGAGGAGACCACAGGACCAGCGAACCGGAAAACACAACAGCAATCCAAAAAAAGTTCTTGCCTACCAAGGCCCCACCCCTGCAGTCTTGGCAACCTCAGATTCCACATGGGCCGGCAGAACCGACATGAATCCTGAGTCAGTCAGGACTTGTGAAGCGGGTGCTGGCTGCCATGGCCCGGCATAGCGCCGTAGTGCCTGTCAATGAGTTCCTCAATCGCGCTTTGGCTGAGGCTTCCCTCCCTGATCGTTTGTATCATTTTTCGCTTATTTGGTTGTTTCGTTCCCTTTCGTCAGGCCCAGAGCGCACCGCCTCAGGGCCGTGAAGAGCAGCGGCTGCTGCCGAGCCCAGCCGAACGGGCAGAAGCCACCCTTTTCCTCGTGCAGGAGCTGTACATGGTTGACCCTTCCTTGGTGGCGCGTGTGATGCCGAATTTGCAGACCGACATTCTGAAACTTGGAAGCAAGTTTTCTTTGCCCGAGAAGCTTCAACTAGCTATGTTGACCCGACCAGAGTCTGTGCGAGGGTTTTGAGGGGTGAATACCCTGGTTGGAGTGTTGGCGAGTACTTTTGAACGAATTTGGGGGCGGGTTCTGCGATTCTTTGAAGGTGCGATGAATGTGCGCAGGCTTCAGGTATGGATCCCTGCTTGCGGGTTGGCATTCCAGATTTCATGTCTCGGAGACAGTTCCGCTGGCAGTTGGCAAGCACATGCAAGCACGCTGCTCCCGATGTCGGCCTCATTTTGCTAGCTCTCGTTATTTTCTTTCCTTTCAAGTAGTTTGGAACATGGACAGCCAAGCTGGTGCTGTGTGTGTGTGTGCTTTGCCGTGGCAAACGGAACCTTGCCAGGAATCCGGATGCAGATTGGCGGAGAATGATCACAGCTCTTGTTGGGCAGATGCTGGCTCATTGTCCTTCGACGGAGCAGATGGGGGTTGCGTGTACACGACCCTTCCTGGCAACTTCTCATCCCTTGATCGTGGACCGCCACAGGGAGAGACTGGAAGATGCAGATGATGGCGTGCGCTCTGCCGCTTTGGACGGTGCTTGTGCCATCCTGCGGTCGGCAGCTGCTATCTCAGCCAAGCCTGCCCTTCCTGGTTGTCAAGAATTCTTGTCAGCAGCTGCTTCGTTGGTGCCCAAGCTGAAAGAGCGAAGCTTGGATCCAAATGACAGGATTCGCATGCGCACGATGGAGGTTGTGCTGGATGTTGCAGCAGAGTCCGCTGGCGGGTATTCTCTTTTGGAGCCTGTTCTGCAGGATGTTTGCCGCCGCATTGTAGACAAGAAGGCCAAGGTCCGTGAGGCCTGTGCCGAGATGATGGCACGGCTCTACGCCAAGCATGCTCTCCCAAAATGGATTGTGGGGCAGCCTGCAGATCGTTTGAGTTGGATCCCGCAGCAGCTGTGTGAAGCATATCTCGTGCTGAACAACACCGGGCTCGGTCAAATTGCACAGCTTGAGGACTTCGGGTGCAAGCATTAGGCATCTTTGGGATTTTTTGGGAGGAAGTTATGGGATGTGGCAAAATTTCTCTAGTGGGCTTGATGATCTCGCTTCACCCGGCATGTGCCAAGCAAGGAGCACATCGAGCAGCACCTTCTTGGTTGCGGAGCCGGCATGGATGGACATCAGCGCGGATTAGCTTTTCTTGGCTTCTACTCATCCGCATCCAGCAAAGCAGGGAGCTCCTCGCAGGGCCTGGCTCTTCTCATGTCAAAGAAGCGGGATGCCAATGAGGCTTTGCGAAAGTTTCTGGACAAGAGGGTCGCAAAAGGAGGGCCCTTGATGCCACTTGCAGGCGACGGGATTCTTGTCCCTGTTTCAGCTGGCTCTGCTCAGTCTGCTCAGCCCGGCCCGCCGCGGGAGGAGGTTTTGGAGAACCTGGCCAGGCACAGCCCAACTTTCGATGGCAGCAGCACCCGACTTGACTCAATCATGGCGCACTTGTCTGTTATGGATGGCGTCCGTGACAAAGCCTTTTGGTCTTTGCTGCAATCGCTCGCAAGTGCCTTGAACAACAGCTGCAATGACATGCGGGCGCTCCTCGATTCACTCAAGGACTTGGACAAGCTTCTCAGGGTCCACAATCTTCTGAGTCTAACGCCGCTGATTCGCCGGGCCCTTCTGTGCACGTGGATGTCCTCAGATCAAGTGTTTGCTTTGTTGGACCTTTGGAGCAGCAGATGGCCGGAAGCCTTCGAGCGTGATGACGAATCAGCTCCGCAACAGCTGTCTGCAGCGGCTAGAGCATGTGCTGCGGACCTTCCAAAGTTCTTTGTGGGTGACTTCCTTGGGCATGCCGATCGTCTCGTGAAAATCGCCACAACTTCAGCAGATGATGCACGAGCAGCTTTGAAAGCCTTGGCATCTATTGCAAAGTGGACAGAAGCGCTAGGTGCCGAGGTTGCGTTGGTGCATGCCGAGGAATTGAGCAATGTTCTCCTGGAAGCTTGCCAGCTTGCCAGCACGGAGACTTCTCAATCTGGCGTGCCTTGCCGCAAAGCCGTGAAAGCCTTGAAGCTCTTGCATGACCGCGAGAAGAGGGCACTGGCGGCAGAGAGCTGGTTGACGTGGGCGCGGGGTAAACTCAACAGTGGCAATGACAAAGTTCTTGCCTTGACCCTCGCGGCGGCCTTGTTCGAGCAAGATTTTCCTGGTGGGCTGTTCCATGACTTGAAAGGCCGCCCGGACTTCCTGGCCGACGCTCACAGCATTCTCACGAAGAAGGGGGGAGTGGCAACGGACCTCCGCTTTGCGGCTATCGAATGCGTAGCAGCTGCGGGCTCCGAAGAGGATATTCTCGATCTTCTTTCCGCCCCTGAAAAGGACAGAGCGACGGAGACGGACTCCGCCGAGGCCACATCATGGTTTGATCCGGAGGCCTCTCATGTCGTCTGTTGCTTGCTGCGCGTTCTTCGCTCTGGCCGTCTTCAAATGTCGACTAAGATGCTGAGCCAAGTGGCGTCGAAAATGTATGCTTGTTTAGGAGAGACGAGGCCAACCTGCGAGAGTGAGACGATCTTTGACTCACTTCAACGATTGCAGCGTTCATCAGGCAGCAAGGTGCGCCTTGCTGACCGTTTGCGGTTGTGTCATACCTTGCCGCTGATTTTCGCTTTCTCGCCGGTCAAGAAGCACAGAGAGGCTGTGCAGCGGATGTTGCAGGCTTCATTCACCAAGGCATCACGGCGCGCAGAGGAACCTCTGGTGGAGTTTGCAATTGCCTGCTTCATCCATTTTCTATCTTCCGTGGATGTGTTTCAGAGAGAAGTGTCGCTGTCCGCATCATCTTTTCCAAACAGCAGCAGGATGTGCCACCTTTTGTGTGAAGCTCTCCTGCGAAGTGATGTGCAGCATTCTATGGAGCTGGCATGGACTGTTCTTCAAGTCTGCGACCGGACCCTGGATTTTGTGGATAGGGAAAACCCAGCATCGGATGCTATCCACAAAGCAGCAAGCGTTCTTCGCTATGTTATAGAGAAGCGCTGCCCGAGCCTCGCAGGAAAACCCACCGACGCGCAGGTGACTAGAGGCCGAATGCCAGCCGAGCTGTTTGCCGCTCGCCGAAGTACAGCTCATCGGGCTTTGCCTGGTATCGATGCAATTGCAGACAAGGAGATGAAGGAGGTGGATGGCGCGGTGGCGAATGACTTCCAGCAAAAGGGCTTGTCCAGTCCTTGCATCCTTCAGACACCCACACGCCAGAGCTTGCTAAAAGCACGGCACTCTCCCGAGTCTTCAGGCCCAGGTCGCTCATCAGTGACAGCAGTCGCCCGTCCCATGGCTTCGACAGGCAAGACCAGCCTGGCTGTTCCACCTGCTTGGAGTAGCACTTCCAAAAAGAGGCGGACAAGTTGACCGAGCCATGCCACGGCGTCTTTCTGCTCGTACGAGCAATGTTCGGGGGTTGCCAGACTGCGGATGAACAGTCCGCTGTTTGGCTGGGGCTGAGTTTTCACTGAGGAACCAGACTTGAGCAGATATTCTATGCATGCGTCGTATCAGGATATTTATCCGCAGAGCAGTACAACACAGTCTGGTTCAGCAATGAGGCTTCATTGTGCAGAGTTTGCAAATGCATTCTGGCGATCATAGGTGTGCAGGGGAATTGGCCAAACGTCGCGCAAGTTTGCTTGATCTGCTGATGTTCTGTTCCAGGGATATCTGGGCAGTCAGTTACAGACCGCGACCGGTGATGCGGTTTGCAGCTCAGGTCGGAGCGGCGACACAGATGAGGAAGAAGCTTTTTGGCTGCAAACCGTGAGTCTAGTCTCTGCTGTGATCATTTGTCAGACTGGTGCTTTCCACGAGCTGCAGATACAGCGGCAGGTCGTGGAAAGGTTGTCGCTTCTGGCTGGTGCCGCAGCAGCTGCAGGGACCTTGAAGCTGATTGGGAGCATTTTGAAATTCGTTGCACAGTGGATGTTTAATGACTGCGTGGCGAGCTTTGAAGGGATCCCTAAGATCCAGCATTTGCGCTACACCTGCAGCTGCCATTGTAGTTTAGTCTGTGTTTCTTCGCGGTTTTGCGTGAAGGGCGATGACCTGCTGAGAGCTCGCCGGATTTGTCTTCGCTTGCGCGATTCTTACGAGGGAGTTGTGAAAGCGCCCAGATGAATCATGCATCTGCATCTGTCAGGATGGCATTGAAGGAAGTGGCGCAACCTGGGCAATTGAGGGGTGGCTTGACGCAAATACTCATGCATGCATATGCATGTAATGTGTAGCTGGAGATGCTGGAGCTTGTGACGTCTGCCAGGGGAGACGCATGGAACGAAGCCCGCAGAGCTGCTGCCGTATGGCGCCTATCTGTGCCCATCATATTCTTGGTGCTGAGACTGGGTGGCCCCACCTTCGTGTATTGGAGAGGGTAAGGTGAGTGGTGGTGTTTTGCATTCAGGGAATGGTTGTTTGCAGATCTGCGTTGTGTGGTCTGCATTGATTTGGTGTTGTGGTTTCGGTTGGTGTCGGTGGTGCCATCTGAAGCGATTGATGGGAAGCGGCAGGCAGTGGTAACTTTGTGAGGTCTTCGGTATTACATGCGCTCATTTGTGCTCATGCTCGCGGGGGCGACGCAGATGCAGCTTTCTCCCTCTTAGGCTCTTTGGAGGCGGGTCGTGTTCTGTAAATTGTAAATGCTGCATCCTTGTTTCTTTCTCGCACAAGTTCTGGCATCTTTGGAAGCTGCAGTGCCCAGGCGCAGGGTGGTGCTGGCCCCTCGCTTGAAATACTTGTTGCTCATGCATTGGGTAGTGATTCTTACACGCTTCTCTAGGTGTGACCGAGACGATACCCATGGAGATCTTTGAGGAACTCATTGAAGGCTGCATGTCGTTTCCAGTGGCGCAAGCTGTCAAGACGTCGCAGGTGCACGTGGTCGCTTGTCCAGGTCTGGTAAGCGGGGGCCGAGTGGAAGCTGCCGTTGCTGCCTTTCAACGCCTGCGGACATGGACACTTGTGGTTTCGAGCTCAACCCGATTTCTTCTTTGAGAGTGCCCCCGTCCACCAGCTTGCAGGTTCCATCTTTGCGGCTGTACGTGCAGATGATCAAAGCCTGTGGCATTGTTCGGGTAGTTTGCTTGGGCTGTCTTGCATCATGTCGAGCTACTTTGCGGCTTGGTCAGTCATGCTTGTTCGATTGCTTGATGCATCCTGTGTGTCGTCATGCCAAGGGCTTAGCTTGCAGTGCCGTATGGTCGGAAAGTTGCTGGTCGGATAGAAGCTCGAAATCCATAATCCTCCTTCGCAATTTTTTTGGCTTGCAGCTTATGTGGCCTCTCAGCCAGGGATGGCGCGGAAGGCCTGCATCGCAAAGAAGATTAGATCCTCAGTCCTAGGCATGTGCTGGCGCATGTTTCAGCGACAAAGTTGCACACGAGCCAACCCCTTCTAGATCAACCTTTGCATCCGTACCGTCTCATGCTGTCTCTTTCCCACAGGCGCGCTGCTCGCGCCTTAAGGCTCGCAGGGCAGCGTGGCATGGACGCCAGACTGTGACTGAAAATGATGCCAAACTTTGCTGGTAGTGTCGTGTTCCGTGCCCGATTTCGTTTTTCGCGGCGTCCCTGCTGAGGATGACAGGTTGCACCTTGTCTGCTATGGCCACTTCGTGAATGCAGTATTGACTACTAGAATCTTGGCGAGGATTTAGCCCGAGGTGAGCCGGGGTCTGCTGTAATCGGGTGCTGTCGGTGGAAGGTACTTTTCGAGAAACCTTTGCAGACGGAGCTGAGGGTCCAAGTTGCACCAGTCCATAATTCGGAGGTCAGCACAAGAGCCCAACCTTCGTGTTTGGATTTAACCAGCACAAGCACCCCCGAGCCCAGAAAACCATGGTTTCCCAGACTCAGACCACCAGCCGTTTCGCAGGATCCACGCAGTCACATGCTCGGGTAGGTCGGCAAAAGCAGGTTGAATCTCACACTTTAGATGAATTCATACAAGCAGCTTTTGTGTTGTCATCCTCATGCCCATGTTGAGTTAGACTCTGCACGCGAGAGAAACGAACGCACAACATTCAAGTACAAATAGCCAAGACCTCGTTAGCGGATCACAAAAACAATATCTTTGAAGTTGTCGCATGTGCCACTCTGTCTACTGTACAAGTTCACTAGAGTCACCAGAACTCATGTGGGCTTTTGGTCCGTGCTTTCCCTGTTCAACTTCGTTCTGTCTTTAATCGCTTTACAAAATCGTGTCCAATGTCTTCTTCCATTCTTCAGATCAGCTGTTCACTCCTTAGAATCGCCACGTCGCAGTTCAGAGGGGAAGACTGGGCAACATATTCCGCCTGTGAGTGTGCTAGGTGTGGAGTGCCACGGAGAACTTGTTCTGGGAGGTCTATCTTTTTTAGGAATTTTTTTGTTTGTTTTTGAGATTTTTTTTGTCCTTGCTACTGGTAAACCCTAAACCCTAAACCCTAAGCCCTAAACCCTAAACCCTAAACCCTAAACCCTAAAGCAAAACACAAAAAAAGCCCAAAAAAACAAAAAACTCATAATTTAATTCTCCGGCCCTTGTTCTGCTGGTGTTGCCCCTTCTCCCATCCCATCCAAAGAAAACCTTGTACCTCCTAGTGCCCTGTCGGGCAACACCTGTGGCTTTGCATGGATCTGGTAGCACAGCACTTGTCCAATGTGCAGACTTGTATGGAGCAAGCAGTGCCTGTCTCGTTTCTTGATTTTAGGATGGTTTTGGATTATTTGGACTCTGGTCGTGAGCGCTGGTGGCGTCAGCCCCGTTGCGACCGTGCAGTCTGATGCTCTCCATGTGTGGGTGCACGCAGCATGGCCGCTTTCAGTCTTTTGCTCATTTCAGCTTTGTGACCCTTCGCTTTGTGCTGATGTAGAGTTGGCGTGTTCCGACTTCTGTCGGAAGAACTTGCAAGCCATGTGAAGATTTCTGCATCATCTGATTGCTCCGCCGCTTTGCGGAGGATGCCAATGCACCACCGAAGCTGCGACCCTGCGAGAGTTCTGGTGGTGGGGCGTGGTTCACTGTGACCGAGGATGCTTGGGAAGCCCCGGTGTGTGATCCTTGGTGGAAGTTGGATGAGGGGATGTGGAGGTCGGAATTTGCCTGAAGCAAGGTTCGTACTTGCAGGCTGAAGCGAGGCCCCTCCAGCCCTGCCAGTAGCTGCAATCCTCGTCAGCAAAAGCAGACAGCCGGCTACGGCTGGTGTGGTATCTAAAATTCTAAACTTGCAGCGGTTGCACCTACATGGTAATGCCTGCCGAGTTGCAGGTTTCCCTGACCGACGATGCTGATGAAATGGAAGGAACATACATGGACCTACACGTCTGGGTATCAACAGGCCTGTTTCTGCAAACTTCGTTTCTAGGGGCTCAGGTTCCTGCACCGTCCTAGGACATGTGCCGGTCGTTTGTAGCGCCGCGCGACGAAAGATCCACTAACGCATTGCAGGGATGGTGCGCTGCGACGGTGTGGCTGGCGTTGAGCTGAGACCGAGCTTGTTCACTACGCAGTGCACAGGCAGGCTGCCCCGCCAACAATTCACGACATGTCTGGTTTCCGTTCTGGCCCGCCGGGAGAAGTTTGGGTGTGAGAGTCACAGGAGCAGTGGGCATTCGAGAGGGCAGGCCCGCCTCCCTGCGGCCAGGTGTTTCCAGCCGACCGGCGGCCATTGTCAAGGACACGGAGTCGTGTGAGCTGCGCTCGGATGGCAAACTGCGTGCAAGCTTCCGTGAAGCACGGAGCTGCCTGGAGACCTTTGGCAGCTTTCCGGTCACAAAGGATCCCATGGCGGCCCAGGCTGTTGCAACTGTGTTTTGTCTTTTCTTGTTCAGTCTACCAAGAGCAAATCCGAGGAACTTGGTGTACACTCCTCCCTCAAACTTCAATGGCGACTTGGACTTCATCAACTTGAGGTTGTAAGTACCGGCGGGTTGAGAATTCCGCGGTGTTGCGGAGTGGTTGTTCGTCCAACGAGGCTGCGCCTCGTTCCTCCCATCACTTCCCATCGTTACCGTGCGAGCATCGTGTTTGCTAAATAGGGCCTGCTCTTGTCAGGAGGTCAAAACCGACACATGACAGAACAACAGATGTATGGAAATTGTGTTTGCAAATTTGGGGGGGCCGGGGACTGGGGGGGGGGGGGGGGGGGGGGGGCGGTGTCCCCCCGGCCGAAACTCTGAAACTTTTTTGCTGAATCAATACAGTAGTTCCGATATAACGATTGCAGGTGTCAAATCATGGGGAATCCACGTACAAAACGTGCAAACAACATCACAAACTTCAACATCGTCCCAACCCTCCGCACCCAGGCCTTTTAAGGCTGCGCAAGCCTGCTTTCAAAGACAGCATGCCGTCACGGGGACCATGGAGTACACACACGAACATATATACCAAGACGGAGCCTTTGGGATTCCCTAATGGGCCCAAGTTGCAAGATAAGGTTGCTTGTAGTTCCGGGCCGCAGTACTTGCTCGGATGCTCAGCGACACCGTCCCACTTCGCATGATGGGCGGCGCTGAGCATTTCCGAGTAGTCATGCCTTTTCAGTAATTCTAGTTCTACATGCCGCATTGCTGTGTCATTCTGCCTGTGTTCTGCGACGTGCGCTTCTAGGCGATGTGCAGATGCGCATCACTGTTTCGGACGCTTGGCCCAGTATCGGAGCGTGTCACTTGCAAACGTGTTTCTTGCTTGAGGAGGGCTTCTCTCTCTCACCTTGATCGATCGTTGCAGCTGTTGATGTGCTCCCAGAGTGGTGTGCAAGAGAGAACCTTTTTTTGTGTGTATTCATGTGTGTAATAAGGTTAGAAGCAGGGGGCTTGGAATGAGTAGGGCAGCGGGCACAGAAGCTGGTTTTGCTAAGCGTGCAACTGCTGTGCAGCTGCTATCAGCTGCTTGCCATGTCTGATGGAGACCGTGGCTCGGTGCTGCTGTCCGGCGCCGGAGCACCCAGCAGGCTTGCGACGGTGGGATATTGGACCATCGCCGTGGGCCACTTGTGGGTGTTGCGAATTCATGCGCTGACCACAGGCGCAGAAGCAATGCTATTCGCAACTCTTGCTTTGGTTGAGGTTGCTTTGGCTTTGGAAGCCGCTGTTTACGCCGTTGGCGGGCTGGGAACCCAAATTGGCCTGCCGATCTTGACACTTCTTGGCCGGGTGCGCTTGCTGGGTGCGGCCATGGCTTGGCCTTGGCTCCTTCCATGGGTTTCCGAACTCGGTTGCCGCTGTCATGTCGTCACTCCTGGTTACGGGTTGACCTTGGTGCATGCCACGACCGCCCTGGCAGGTCTTCTGACTCTGTTCTATCTTGGGGGCGAGATGCAGCTTGCCGTCTTTGCATCCCCAGCCAATAGCAGCGACACGATGACGGGATGTATGCCAAGTCCAATTCTAGCAGGGCAGTTCCGCTTAGACAAGGCCGATTTGGAGGAGACAGGAAGGGCGGTCTTTGTCCCTGCCCAAGCAAGGAAGGGCCTTTATGTGGGAGCAGGACTGGCCTTACTCGTGCATCTCTGCTTCGGGATGGCGTTCGCTCTATTTGGAGTCCCAGGCTTTCCACCCTGGCTGCTGGTCGGAGCCCTTGCAGCGATGCTGGGCCGATCATTTGGACAGCTTCCCCCCATGGCGAAAGACCGGGAGAAAGGCGCATCCAATGATTCAAGGATTCTTTGGCGACGCGAAGGTCCCCGATTGGTGGTTCGCCTTTGTGAGCTGGCTTGGATCTGGTGTTGCGTGATGGAACTGCAGAGGTGTGAGACCTCCAGTGAGTGGCTTCCCGTTTGTGCCGCATAGAGTCATAGAGGTCTTTGCCCACTTCGCCCCTTTATGCAGCTTCGTGCAGGACACGGTTCCTGAGCCCATGCCGGAGGCTTTCACGAGTGCCACAGGAAAGCCCTAAGTACAGAGATGCACCGAGGCTTCACTGCTCAGGATCCGACAGGAGTTGCAACGCATCACCTGAAAAAAGCACCTTTGCAGCTGCAGCACCTTTGCAGCTACAGCTACAACTGCTGTCGCCTGCGCTAAGCAGCCAAGGACAATGGTTTCACAGGCTCTTTGCAAGCTTCTGCTGGCGAAATTCGGACGACAACGGAGCTGACGACAATCCAGGCATCTGGGCATAATATAGTTAGGATGACCCGCGAACGCTCGCCTGTGCGACCGGTCCGCGCGGGCCTACTTGCACAAAGTGTGTTGTGTTTTTCGACTCGAAGGCTTTCCAGGTGCCCGGGACTAGGATTCTTTCAGCTTGTCCAGACAGCATCAGGCCTGCTTAGAATGCACCGCTCCTTTGTGTTTATCTCGAGGTAGAAGCGGTGAATGACATGCCTTACCTGACGTGGATCACCTTGCCGCCGAAGGACAGCCTGAATCCTCACCACCTTTTCGAAGGTCGAAACTGACCTCAATCCAGACTTGCTTTGTGAAGTTGCAAATGCTCTACAGGAAATGCTCAACAACGAATCCTTTCCTTTCCAAGGCGCAGCCAGAGCTTCGCTCGTCAAACTGACTTGTCCAACTGACCTGCTCTGGAGGGCTTCGCATACATGATCCCGATGTCGTGGGCTGGCGTGCTGACAGGATTGCCTGCGTGCTCGACTCGCTGTTGCTGATTCCTTCATTTTTGCCTATGGGAGAAGTGATGAGCAGGAGCGAAAGCTTCACACTGACCTTTGAGACACTGGGTGGGGAGATCTTTTTTCCGCTTGGCGAGCCCCTTCTGCGTGAGCAGGCTCACTGCTCCAGGGCTCACCTGCACATGTTTGCCGATCACTCACTGCAGCAGAGGGCGGGAGGATTACAGTCAGTCTCCTACCAAAAAAGATGCTGCGCCGTGGTGGTGATCGGATCATTTCGCTGCACCTGGGGTGATGCGATGGACATAAGAATGTGTGCAGTGTATGGTGCATCCTGGTTGTCATTTTGCGCACGGTGTGCGGAGATGCTTGTTGTGTTTGTTTGCTTCGCGCTGTCTTGCCTGCCTGCTTGCTTGCTGTACAACGCCCCGCACGCAGGCATGCTTGCTTGCACGCGCGCTTTTGTGTGCTTGTGCATGCACACATGCACGCGCACACACACACACACACACACGCACAAACACGCATGCCTTGCAATCAGACGTTCGTGCTACATTTGCGCCGTGGGCCGTGGCAGACTGTCGTATGTTCCAGTCACAATACAGCACTCGTCCAACGCATCAGTTCATGTTTCCCCTGATGCGCAATCAACATCATACATTGTCCTCGTAAGTCTCACTCGCACAACTACAACTTTCGAAACGCAATTCGAGAGTATGGGTCAATGGTGTTGCTGTTCATCATGTGCAAGAGCTGCTTTTTGCTTGGAGGTACCTGCCCCTCCACAGCGGAGCACCTACGTGCGTCTGCAAGGGAACCTCAGTGCGGTGCAGGCCAGCTTTCGAAGGAGGAAGTAGTGCGTCAACGCGGAGCCGGGCCGCCGGGAACGGGTTCTGGTGCAAGATTCCCTGCTGCAGGAGTCCTGCAAGAGGTTTGTCTACAAGCCTCCGGCATGGTTTGTTGGGGAAGATGTCGTCATTGTACGGGTGTCAGATGGTGGCCTTGCCGGTAGCGGGGGCAACCTTACTGGAGAGCTTGGCTTCAGGGTGAAGGCACCCAGCTTCACCGCATTGTGATGCAGTGTGTCATCGTGCGTCATCTTAGGGGTTGTCTTGCAAGTGGCTGCGTCATCTCATGTGCAGATATGTGCAGGTGTCTCAGGCGCTGGTTCCCGTCTCTCTGGTGGTAGAGTCGCACTACCTCAATGCATGGGAAGATGAGCCCCTACGTTTTGGTCGGGCAGCCAGGACTGCACAAGAAAAGGGGTAGATTCCGGAATGCATGCAGGCGTATACAGGGAACCCTTTTGCCTTGCTGATATTGCGAATCGTGAAGTCTTGCTTTCTCATGTACTTGGCACCTTACAAAGTAGCTGACAAGAGACGGATGTTTGAGAGGACGCAGGTTAAGTTCCCTTCTAACTCCTCCGACCTGTTCCTGAAGATTGGCTCTGCTGATGGTGGACTGGTGTATCCGTGGCAGGGCGACCTGCTCGCTACAGGTGACTTGTCCATCCTCCCTGGAGGCGTATTCTGTTTTTTGAAAGGGAATGTGCATGCGGGAATGGGTTGGTCTGGGGTGCCTAAGAGTCAAGAGTGTACGTAGGAGGCGCTTGTGCTATTGCTCAGCATTGCTTCTGTCCTTGCAGGTGCGAGCGATCCGCGCCACCTCCGCTACCTCAACATCTCCTCATCTCTTCTCGAGGTGTCTGGGACGATGGCTGACTTGAACCTCCTCTTAGATGAGGCTCAGCGCAAGCACACGCTCATTTGTTGCGCAAATGTGCTGCATGGAGCTGGCTGTTTACCGTTCCATGCTGCATAGGGGTCAATAGTTTGCAAGGACTAAGCGAAATACAAATCACCCCCACCACCACCACTACCTCTACTACTACCGCTACTACTACTACTACTACTACTACTACTACTACTACTACTACTACTACTATACTACTACTACTACTACTACTACTACTACTACTACTACTACTACTACTACTACTACTACTACTACTACTACTACTACTACTACTACTACTACTACTACCAATACTACTACTGCTACTACTACTCCTACTACTCCTATTACTACTACGACTCTACTTCTACTACTACTACTACTACTACTACTACGACGACTACTACTACGACTACTACTACGACTACTACTCCTAGTAGTAGTAGTAGTAGTAGTAGTAGTAGTAGTAGTAGTAGTAGTAGTAGTAGTAGTAGTAGTAGTAGTAGTAGTACTACTACTACTCCTGCTACTACTACTACTACTACTACTACTACTACTACTACTACTACTACTACTACTACTACTACTACTACTACTGCTACTACTACTACTAGTGCTACTCTTGCGTCTGATAGTAGTTATCTTATGATCAGTGTGAAAAGTAGTAGTTTGAGTAGGGGTAGGAGTAGGAGTAAGAGTAGGAGTACGTACCTGTTACCAGTGCATCCATGGGCCAGAGCCTCCATGCCCGCACGATGATGACTACGTCCGTGTTGCCAGAGCGCACGTTTGGCCAGAGCATGCTCGCACCATGATACGTGCATCTGACCAGCGCATCCATTGGCCAGAGCATCCCTGCCCGCACGATGATTGCGTCCATGTTGCCACTTTGCGCGATTGCAGCACGGTACATCATCGTGCGAGCTTGCCTGGCCAATCGCATGCACTTGTAACACGGACATAATCATCGTGCGGGCATGGGTGCTCTGACCAATGGGTGCACACGATGAGTATGTACGTGTATTCCCCGAAATTCGAGTCAAGTACGTGGAAAACTGCGATTACTTACAATACGCAAACAAAGTTAAGCAAGATTTGAGAGCAGTTTTGCTCCCCCTAACAACACCGCCCGTGTCTGATTCGCACATGCTGGCCACGTTGGACGTTGAACTCTATGGTACAATGCAGCTTGCACTTCTACGTCGCATCCTCGTCCTCGTCCTCGTCCTCTACTGTAGTCGTAGTTGTATAGTCGTAGTCGTACAGTCGTGAAGTCGTAGAGTCGTAGAGTCGTAAAGTCAAAGAGTCGTAGAGTCGTAAACTCGTAAAGTCGCAGATTGGTAGACTCGCAGAGTCGCAGAGCTGTAGAGTCGTAGAGCCGTAGAGCCGTAGAGCCGTAGAGCTGTCGAGTCGTGGAGTCGCATAGTCGTGGTCGTAGTAGTGGTTTTTGTCGTAGTCGTAGTTACGGTTGTCGTAGTAGTCGTAGTAGTCGTAGTAGTCGTAGTAGTCGTAGTAGTCGTAGTAGTCGTAGTAGTCGTAGTAGTCGTAGTAGTCGTGGTAGTCGTAGTAGTCGTAGTAGTCGTAGTAGTCGTAGTAGTCGTAGTAGTCGTAGTAGTCGTAGTAGTCGTAGTAGTCGTAGTAGTCGTAGTAGTCGTGCTTAGTTACGGTGATCGTAGTCGCTATCGTTGTAGTAGTCGTAGCAGTCATGGCAGTCGTCGTAGTCGTCCTAACGGTCGTGACCCGTGTCATCCCGTGTCATCATCGAAGTAGAAGTAGAAGCAGAAGCAGAAGCAGAAGCAGGAGCAAAAGTAGAAGTAGGAGTATTATGATTGCTCGTGCTCCATGAAAAGAAGCGCCCATTCTATTTTGTTCTTGCGGTTGAGAACAGCTGCAACTTTTCCAGCAAGTCGTGCAGGTCCACTTCCGCCACCCTATCAGAGATTGGTTCAATTCGCCAGCGCGCCCCTCTAGGATCAGCTTGCAGGCGATCAAGCGATTTGCTTGCGCGCTTTTGCTTTTTGTTCGGAGTTGCTTTTTGCAGTGTTCGTCAATATTCGATATTCTGGTTCAGGTCTGCCAGCTCGACATACCAACTGATCGAATGGTGCCGGGGACATGTGCCTCCAAGTACATTGATATCGATGTGAAGCCTGTCGATGATGCCCCAACCGTGGTGTCTCTGGAACACCCCTGGGCACTGCCTCTAGAGACCATGGAGGATACTGCAATACAGCTCTGTTGCTTCACTATATTCGATCCCGACATGCGAACTGCTGGAGCAACGACTTCCATCAAAGAGTCCCCGTGGCTCTTCCGGATGCGCATCATGGCCAAGTTTGGCAACATCAGCATTGCAAAGACCAGTAGTGTTGTTCTGACCGAGCAGAAGAGTAATTTGGTTGGCCTGGAGGGGTATGCTGTGAATCTGGAGCCAATTCTGGACAGTATTGTTTATGTGCCAGTCGCGAACATGAACTC